TTTAAATGAGAATTAAAAGACAAATCTTGATCAAATATTACTCCGAGGTTTCTTACGGTAGTGCTAGAGGCCAGAGCAATGCCATCTAGAGAAACTATGTCATCAGATAAAGAGTCTCTGAGTTGTTTGGGGCCAAGAACAGTAACTTCAGTTTTGTCTGAATTTAACATCAGGAAATTGGTGCTCATCCAGGTTTTTATGTCTTTAAGGCAGTTATGGAGTTTAGTTAATTGATTACTTTCTTCTGGCGTGGGGATTTTTTCCTGATCAGCTGTGAGGGTCATAAGGACAGAGGGATGTAGTATGCTGTAAAGCCCTGTGAGGCAAATTTTGATTTGTGATATTGGGCTTTATAAATAAATTTGATTGATTGATTGATCATCATCATCAGGAGTGTTTCCTGTAGTACTGATGGTATCAAATATATTATGGGATGTGCCATCATCAGGAGTGTTTCCTATAGTACTGATGGTATCAGATATATTATGGGATGTATCATCATCAGGAGTGTTTCCTGGAGACGGTCGATAAGGCCACGCTGTGCTGCCCGATGTGCAGGAAGAGAGTTTCCACGTGGGCTCGTCTGAACAGCAGGAACAACACGCTGGTCGACCAGCAGCTGTGGACGCACATCCAGACCGCCTTCCCTCTGCAGTGTCAGCGCCGCCTTAGTGGGCAGGACGCCATCACCGAGGATGACCCTGGAGGTATCAGCACACACACATCCCATAATACTGTTACTATCTGCATATGTGAAGCTTTGTGTTTATTTAGGGTCATTCAATTAAGCTTTATTTATAAAGACCAAAATCACAAAAGACCCTTCATGATTGAAAATAACAAGAGCTGGCGTACCCGGCCCGGAGGGTAACCGGGGCCCCGCCCTGGAGCCAGGCCTGGGGCTGGGGCCCGTGGGCGAGCGCCTGGAGGCCGGGCCTTCGCCCATGGGAAGGAGCCAGAGCTTGTGGAAGAGGTTGAGCGCTACCGGCTAGATATAGTCAGCCTCACCTCGACACATAGTTCCAGCTCTGGAACCCAAGTCCTTGAGAAGGGTTGGACTCTCTACTTAGCTGGAGTTGCTCCGGGTGAGAGGCAGAGGGCCGGGGTGGGCTTTCTGATAGCCCCCAGTCTCTCTGCCTGTATGTTGGGGTTCAACCTAGTAGACGAAAGGGTTGTGTCCCTGCGCCTTCGGGTCGGGGAACGGGTCCTGACTGCTGTCTGCGCTTATGCGCCGAACAGCAGTTCAGAGTACCCGCCCTCTTTGGAGTCCCTGGACAGTGCCCCGACCGGGGACTCCATTGTTCTGCTGGGGGACTTCAACGCTCACGTGGGCAATGACAGCAGGACCTGGAGGGGCGTGATTGGGAGGAACGGCCTGCCCGATCTGAACCCGAGTGGTGTTCAGTTATTGGACTTCTGTGCGGGTCGCAGTTTGGCCATAACTAACACCATGTTTGAGCATAAGGATGTCCATCGGTGCACGTGGCACCAGGACAGCCTAGGTTGCAGGTCAATGATTGACTTTGTAGTCGTATCATTTGACCTGCGGCCATATGTTCTGGACACTCGGGTGAAGAGAGGAGCAGAGCAGTCAACTGATCACCACCTGGTGGTGAGTTGGATCAGATGGCAGGGGAGGACGCCACGCAGACCAGGCAGACCCAAACGAGCAGTGAGGGTCTGCTGGGAGCGCCTGGCAGAAGAACCAGTCCAGATGATTTCACCTCCCACCTCCGGGAGACCTTCGACCGTGTCCCAAGGGCAGAGGGGGACATTTAGTCCGAATGGGCCTTGTTCCGCTCTGCCATTGTCGAGGCGGCTGTTGCGAGCTGTGGGCACAGTCGCGGTCGCGGCAGTAACCCCCGAACCCACTGGTAAGGGGAGCCGTCAGGCTGAAGAAGGAGGCCTACAGGGCATGGTTGGTCTGTGGGTCTCCAGAAGCAGCTGACGGGTACCAGCGGGCCAAGCGGAGCGCAGCAGCGGCGGTCGTGGAGGCAAAAACTCGGGCATGGGAGGAGTTCGAACGAGATTGCAGGTACAAGCGGCCAAAATGAGTTTCCTCCGCAGGGTGGCTGGGCTCAGCCTTAGAGATAGGGTGAGGAGCTCGGACATCTGCGAGGGACTCGGAGTAGAGCCGCTGCTCCTCCACATCGAGAGGAGCCAGTTGAGGTGGTTCAGGCATCTGGTAAGGATGCCTCCCGGACGCCTCCCTTGGGAGGTGTTTCGGGCATGTTCAACCGGGAGGAGACCTCGGGGCCGCCCCAGGACACGCTGGAGGGATTACATTGCCCGGCTGGCCTGGGAACGCCTCGGGGTTCCCTCGGAAGAGCTGGCGAAAGTGGCTGGGGAGAGGACTGTCTGGGCTTCTTTGCTGAGACTGCTGCCCCCGCGACCCGGACCTGGATAAGCGGAGGACGACGAGTACGAGACGAGCACGAGAAAATCACAAATTACAATGTGACAGAGACACATGGCAATAACAACAACAGCATACAATGATAATAATAATGTTAATAGTAATAATAATAGAAATAATAATAATAATGATATAGTAATAGTAATGATAATAGTAATAATAATAGTAGTAATAATAGCAAAATATTAATAGTATTAATAATAATAATAGTAATGATAATAATAGTAGTAATAATAATAACAATAGTAATAATGATAGTAATAGTAATGATCATAGTAAAAATAATAGTAATGATAATAGTAATAATTATGATAATGATAATAGTAATAACAGTAATGATAATGATAATAGTAATAACATTAATAATAATAGTAATAACAGTAATAATAATAATGATAATGATAATGGTAATAACAGCAATAATAATAGTAATAATAATAATAGTAATAATAATAATGATAATGCTTGACAGTATAAATATTTTATAAATATATTCTTATATGACCGTATATGTGTAGCAGCAGTAGTTGTCATCAGGCAGGACACATCCAGCTGTGATTGGAGGGAACACACAGTGACAGTGGACACAGACTCTCTGGGGGCGGAGCTTAGTGATAGGCAGTAATAAGACATGAATGAAGACAGAGAGAAGCTCCGCCCCCTGACAGACTGAGTCTATATCAGTATCATCACGAGCAGGTTCAGGTTCAGACTGACTGTGGAGATGGCGTCTGACTGAAACAGGAAGTTGGTTCGTTCAATTTAACCTCATTGATCCTGATGATAAAAGCTGATATCATTAATCTGTTTATTGATTACAGTGACATCATCAGAACCACCAACCAGACACTGTACTCTATGAAACATGACTGTGTGTGTGTGTGTGTGTGTGTGTGTGTGTGTGTGTGTGTAGCGTCTGTGTGTTTTCCCAGAGTCAGTCAGCCTGGAGAGCTCAAGAGAGAATATGAGGACCAGGTGACTAAAGTAAGTTCGGTCTCCTTGTTATAATGATGATGAAGATAATGTCGATGATGATGTCAGTGTTACTGCTGTCACGTTGGTAAACAGGGTGATATTACTGATATTAAGTAAAGTTCAAATAATAAGATATCTGACAGAAGGGTCTCTCTGACAGAAAGGTCTCTCTGACAGAAAGGTCTGTCTGACAGAAATCATACATCATATGATGATTAACGTGGTGATTTACTCTCCTGGTGCTGGGCGACAGATCAGTGTTGATTGTCTTTAATGTACCACTGTGTAACTGAGACAGCTGGTGGCGTGTGTCAGTAAACAGGAAGGAGCTCTATGACATTTGTGGTCGATGATGCTGTGATGTAAACGCTGTGATCAATGTGTAATAAATGTTGTGTGATAAATGTGCAATGAATGTGTTGTAAATGTGAGATAAATGGTCTGTGATAAATGTGTGATTAAATGTTGGGTGATGAATGTGTGAAATGTTGTGTGATAAGTGTGAGATAAATGTGTGATAAATGTGTGATTAAATGGTGTGTGATGAATGTGTGATAAATGTGAGATAAATGTTCTGTGATAAATGTGTGATTAAATGTTGGGTGATGAATGTGTGAAATGTGTGATAAGTGTGAGATAAATGTGTGATAAATGTGTGATTAAATGGTGTGTGATGAATGTGTGATAAATGTGAGATAAAAATGTTGGGCGATAAATGTGAGATAAATGTTGTCTGATAAATGTGTGATAAATGCATGATAAATGTGAGATAAAAATGTTGCGCGATAAATGTGAGATAAATGTTGTCTGATAAATGTGAGATAAATGTGTGATAAATGTGAGAAAAATGTTTATCAGTCTGATGAAGATTGGCTCATTAACATAACCGCTGATTGTTGTTTACACTCGTTTATGTTTACTGCTGTCAGCTGACGGAGGAGAAGCGAGCGATGGAGGAGGAGGAGCAGAGGGCCAGTGAGGAGTACATCCGGAGACTGCTGGCTGAGGAGGAGGAGCTTCTGCAGGAGGAGAGGAGGAGGCGTGAAGATGACGAGCGGCTCGCCAGACTGCTGAGTAACCAGCTGGTCAGTGTCTGGACGTTATGACATCACACGTACAACTTGTCACATGACCTCACACAGACGCTCTGAGGATTAGTTTGGCAGTGACGTCATGTCCCAGCGAGGACACAATGAACAGGACACAAACACTCTGGGTCAGAGGTCAAGACTTAACGTTAGAGTCCACCATGGTCGACCTGCTGACGTCCACCGCTCCAGTCAGAGCTCTTAAACACTTCACATTCACATGTTCACATTCACATGTTCACACACTGAACCTTTTTTCCACCATCTCAGCTGCTGAAGACAAAATGTCCGTCTGTAGATCAGTTGTCCCTCATGTCCTCTGAGGGACGCTGTCTGTCCTCACTGTTTAATGTCTAACCCTTCATGTCCTGTGAGGGACACTGTCTGTCCTCACTGTTTAATGTCTAACTCTTCATGTCCTCTGGGGGACGCTGTCTGACTCCACTGTTTAATGTCTAACCCTTCATGTCCTCTGGGGGACACTGTCTTTCCTCACTGTTTAATGTCTAACCCTTCATGTCCTCTGAGGGATGCTGTCTGTCCTCACTGTTTAATGTCTAACCCTTCATGTCCTCTGAGGGATGCTGTCTGTCCTCACTGTTTAATGTCTAACCCTTCATGTCCTCTGGAGGATGCTGTCTGACTCCACTGTTTAATGTCCTCCCGCAGAACTCGAATCCCGTCTCCCAGGACAACCTCAGTCCTGCTGACGTCACTCCAGCAAAAAAGAAGAAGAAGAAGGATGTCAGCGGGGGACAGATGGACAAGTATGTCCACCTGAGGACAGACCAGTGATGACGGTGATGGTGATGGTGATGGTGATGGTTTTTTGTGTGTTTCAGGTTCTTGTGTCCTCTTCCCTCCAACAACAGCTCGTCCTCGTTCCTGTCCTCTCGCTGCAGCTTCGTGTCCAACAAGGTCAGTTTGATCCAAATGTGTTTGATCACACGTGTCATAACTGAACACGTCTAAGGACAGAGGGTAAGGGGACAGACAGAGGGTCAGGGGACAGATCGAAGGTCAGAGGATAGAGGCTCAAAGGACAGAGAGAGGGTCAGAGGATAGAGGCTCAAAGGACAGAGAGAGGGTTTGGGGACTTTGGGGACAGACTGAGGACAGACAGAGGGTATGGGGACAGAGGACAGGCAGTGTGGGGACAGACTGAGTACAGACAGGACAGATGGTATGGGGACAGACAGAGGACAGTGTCTTTAGCTGTGGTTGTTGATGTGTCTCCTGTATAAGTAAAGTTGGTCTGAATGTCTGTCTTTCAGGAGAACATAATGGTGTCTCAGGTGGAGCTGCAGGTGGAGCGTCCTCTCCCTAACCTCGACTATTATGGTCCTCAGAGGGACAGATCAGAACCTCCGTCTGTCTCCGTGGACGACCAGCTCCACCCAGGGACACACAGGAGTCACATGACTGGAGACAAGAGGAAGAGCTCTGAGCTGGATATGACAGAGGACGAGAAGGAGACGGTCACCAAACGAGGCTCGCTCCTCCCGCCCTCCCCCTCTTCCTCCTCCTCCTCCTCCTCTCTGCAGGTGGAGGTCCTTCAGGGGGACTCTGAGTGGGAGGTGGAGCAGCTGAGGAGACGTCAGCAGGAGGAGGACGACCGGCGTCTTGCTCTGCTCCTGCAGAAGGAGTTGGACCAGGAGGAGAAGCAGAGAGCCACCGACCGACGCAAAGACTCCTCCGACCCCTACCTGCTCCGCCCAAACAGCCGGGGGAAGGTGGAGGCCACCTCCTCCTCAAGGACCTCCCCCACCTCCTCCTCTAAGACCTGCTCCACCTCCCCCTCCACAAGGACCTCCACCCCCTCCTCTAAGACCACCTCCTCTACAACGACCCCCACCACCTCCTCTAAGACTTCCTCCGCCTCCTCCTCAAGGACCTCCTCCACCCCCTCCACCTCCTCCTCAAGGACCTCCTCCACCTCCTCCAGCAGAGGCAGCAAACAGGCCACTCTGACTGAGATGTTCTCCAGCCTGATCAGCTGAATCCTCTGTGTCCTCCTGTGTCCCTGCATGTCCCTCTGTCTGTCTGTGTCTGTCCCTCTGTGTGTTTGTCCCTCAGTCTGTCCCTCTGTGTGTCTCTGTCTGTGTGTCTATCTATGTCTCTGTTTGTCCCTCTGTCTGTCTGTCCCTCTGGGTGTCTCCATCTGTCCCCCTGTGTGTCCCTCTGTCCGTCCCTCAGTCCGTCCCTTGGTGTCTGTCCTATTGTGTCGGTCCCTCTGTCTGTCCCTCTGTGTCCCTCTGCCTGTCCATCTGTGTCTCTGTCTGTCCCCTCTCTGTGTCTTTGTCTGTCCCCTCTGTGTTTGTCCCTCTGCCTGTCCATCTGTGTCTCTGTCTGTCCCTCTGCCTGTCCCCTGTGTGTCTGTCCCTCAATCTGTCCTCAGCCTGTCCCTCTGTAAGCAGACACAGACCCGTTAATCAAACCTGTTCTTTATTTTAGTCAAACTGTAACAGAGCTCTTCAGCCCTGCCTTTTTATTACAGTGGAGACACTACGAGGACAAAAGTATGTGGACATCTGAACTGTCCCTCCTGTCTCACATTACAGTTCATGGCGGACATGGTCATGAACTTCATCAACACTGACACTGGTGTGATGTCATTAAACATTTCTGATGGAGCAGTTTTGTGTTGAAACAGAGACAAAGACAAACTGTCCTCATATTGGTGTCCACCAGGGGATGTCTGTGTTTGTCCAAACAGGAAGCAGAGACACTGCGTCCTCTGAAGCTGACACACTTTTTGGTTTAAATGTTTATTTTTTGTAAACAAGTTGTTTCAAATAAAGTTTTGGAGCAGAAAGATTCACTGATGTCACTCTAAGTTTCAGTCCAGGCTGAGCTGAGTCTGTCCTCACAGGTCCTCGCATGTCCTAACAGGTCCTCACA